ACTCCTGATATTCTGTGATTCTGTGAAAACCCAAAGCCAGGAAAAAAAGTACTGTTTTTTATCCTTTGAAAAGCCCTGTTAAAGAGGTCTTAAATATCAGGTATGTGAGCAATGAAAAATGTTTGGTTTAATGAGCTCTCAAAGTCATTACAAAGACAACCGAGTGAATGCCATTTTTGAGCAACAACATCTAAAAGGCTGCAACAGCACTACTATAAAGCTGAGAAGTTAATAGTTATGATGTCAGAAATCTTGACATCATCACAGCTAAATCAGAAAGCAACACGTATCTGAACAAAGACGATCTGTTTGGAATACGTATGTTCTAGGCAACAGAGAGGAGGTAAAAGTGAAAACTAAATTGAGATCCAGCACACAAAAATGAGATTCATCACAACGTAACGCATGCAAACAACCTGGCTGAATGTCCTCAAAATCTGTGCTGGATTTTTGGCACTGCATGTAAAGTGAATTCTCTGTAGTATACATATATTTCAAGATAGTGTTGTAAAGAACCTTTGGCATTTGAGGTATCTACTTCAATTAATTTTATGTACTAGGCATACTTTTTTCCCTAAATCATTACTATCATTTTTTAATCAAGCAAGAAATGGAAGAATTTCTCTAAGGAAAATACTTTTAATTTGGTAAAGATCATACAAAAGTATTTGTACGTATTTTAATAGTATTAATAGCTTATTATTTTCTAGTTCCTAATACATTCAAAACAGCAATGAATGGAGAACGAGCACTCGTCTGCTTTGCCCAGACTGGTAGCAGACACGAAGAGCAAAAATGACTACAGATGCCAAATCCATAAGGATCAGAGAACTGACCTCTGAATGTTGCAACTTAGTGGCCAAGATACTCAGAGATCATACATTCAAGAAAAAGAACACATCTGGAAGTAAACTCTGTAAATCTACCTACTCACAACAGATACGTATTTAAATGGAGATGGAGTTTAAAAGCAGTATTCCACATTACCCACACTGAAAAGCCTACGTTATTTGAAGCAATAATTCAAATGGACAGTTTCTTTCTAAGGAATGCATGTTTGGCTGTTGTTTTTCCCCCACACTGTTGTTGCATAAAGGTCACAACTGTATAAAATACACGAGTGGGATCATGATCCTATACCGAGTCAGCCAAAATGAATTCCATTCCCAGCTTTGTGAATGACTTGAAACATGAGTAATAAAATTATTTTCTCTTTTTTTGTTCATCTATACAATGACACTTGCCTACTTTACTAGGCTGTTGTGGGAACTAATGATGGGTATGTTAATATCTAAGAAGCTCAAGCAGCATCCATACCTACAAAAATCAGTCCTACAGTAGCCTAAGTTCTTCAGGACAACGATTATCTATCTGTTTTTATTTGTTTGTACAGTTTCTAGAACAATAGGGTCTTAATCCTTGACTTGGACAGCTAGGCACCATTGAAACATAAATAATTAGCAAACAATGTGAGTTGAGAGGCTTAGCAAAGTGTTATCCTTCCCAGAGCTCCAAGGCACAGAGTATTTAAATGACCAGAATTTAGCCAATGCAAAGGGAACTGGGGACAAGGAACCATAGCCTTGGTTGCTCGCTAACCACTTTGGTGGCTTGTCCTTGAAAGGGCAGGGATACAAAAAAGAAGACTGATGGAATGCATATGTGAGAAGAGAACACTATTCAGTGGAGCACAGGACTGCAAATAGAGTTGCCTTTTGAGCAAGGCATTTGGGGGAAAAGCTTTTTATGTATTTGCCAGCTCTATTTTATCTGCAAACTAAGGGCAAACACAGTAGGAAAAAAACAGGGGTTTGTTTTGGGGTCTTTTTTTGATAAACACATAATCATGCCAAGAAAGAAACAGTTGCATAGCCAAGAGTAGCTGTTGTCTCTTGAGATGTGTTCTATGCCCATACATGCTGCTGCCTTTTTCTTGAGGATGCCCGCTACATTCAAGCTAGGGTCTCTCTCAGAAGTATCAGCTGTGTGTTACCATATACACTAGGAACATCCCCCTGCTTCCCATCAGAAGTAAAAAGGTTGGAGCTGGTCCAGTCACTTTAGCAGCTCATCATCTTGGACAGCCCTTCATCTTCAGCATCTAAGAGCAGCTTCAAGCATAAAGGGTCAACATTTCTACGTAAAACAACTACTCAACAATTAAGCAACTGTTTCTTCTTCACTTCCTGTCCACACATTTGTTCTGCTGGTGTTGACTTCTAAGCTATGAACTCTCTGAAGGTGGATATCAGTAATTTGGGCTTGTTTATTCTAGAAATAAAAGACTGATGGTAAGCATGACTGTCAGCATTACTGGAGTGAAAAATAATTCCTTCCAAGTGACAAATGAAGAAATGCTCCGCTTCAAGTCAGTCTAGAAGATACCTGGAGGACAGGCAATTTCCACAAGGTGATGAATGAAAAGGAAGTAGAATGCTGAGACGAAAGCCTGGAGTGTTTCCAGTAAACTCTGAATGCAGGGTGGGGCAAACAAAAGCAGTCTTCAAGAAGGATAAAGGCAAAAGTCAGGTTTAATACGCTACCCACAATTTTTATTTTCTTAAATAAAGATGATGTTAAAGCAAAATTTTAGAAAAAAATGGAGAATTACGAAAGACTAAGTAAATATTATTTTCAGCCACTAACCAAAGTATGTACAATATACACGCAACATAAAACAAATTAAGCACTTACTTACCTAGATGCGTCAAGTTAATATTATCCCAATATTTTAGAACAGCCTTTATCTCATCATATTACTATATTACAACACTATTACATTGTGCATCCAAAATTCTCTGATACTTTCAGTCAACAATACGTTCTTCATACATATCTAACTTTAAACACATTAATCCACTTACTTAAGTAATCTATTTAATGTACAATAAGAATTAAAGCAAATCTGTCTTTCCAGTCATTTAGATCCCTGACCCGCTCTTGTATTTGGCAGTTCAATAACCAAAAAACTTGAGTAGATTTGAATGACAAAGCATTTTCATCAAAAGACTACAGAGAAGTAATACACATACAGTTCGACGTGATCTGAAACAGATGCTGAATCTCTGTTTTTGAAATCATAGAACTAAAGTTATCTTTTTTTTTAACTAATGTAAATGGAAAACAGTCTTCAAAAGTCTTAAAGTCTTACCTGTTGGTATGCTTCACAGATTATATCAAACAAGAAAGCCTGAGGCATTTCACTCGCTCTGTACCTGGCACGTTCCAATGAGTGGTCTAAACAACCATCTGCAGCAGAGGCAATAACAGTAGAAACTAGGGGACAGATTGCTCCTGCTGCCTGCAGAACAAAACACAGAGAGGCCTAAACATTATTAATATTCATCAACATCAGATAGCTGCAGTCAAAAAAGTATGAGCTTTAAAATACATTTTCTACTTACTTATCTTTTATATGTCTCATAATGTATAAGTAATACTCCTTGGTCTGTACTAGAGCTTTAACACAAATATAGCAACAGAAGACTGTTCATAAATATAGCAAAGAAGATGCATCACCAGCCACTTATCAAATGCTCACATGAGCTTATATGAAATGAAAGGCAATTGGGACAAGAGCTGTCCGTACAACAACGAATAAAAGGATGCAATGGCAGAACATTCCTTATCAAGTCACAGTGCAAAAAGCACACTAATAACACTAACCACTAAGAATGGCATCCTTACACTACAGTGTTTATTATCTATTTTTAATAATAAAAATAATAATTGATGCCTTTCCAAAAAATTTGGAATTATCCAACATCTTAAATCAGTATACCCAGAAAGTCACTCCCAATGGTGAATTCTGACACTTTTCACTGCAGCCACAGATCTTCTGAGGTCCAGTGAGCTTTGACACAGTAAAAAATAGGTCTCTTATTACATAAAGTAAGAGCACTGCTAATGGTGATTTCATTTATGTTCTGTTGGTAAATCCCACTCTCATACATGAGTCCCGTGCATTCTTAGAAGATTTCTGACCCCAGATAAGCATACATGGCAGAATGAGAGACCAAAAGTGAACCCAAAGTTTTTTCCTCTCAGAAGAGAAAGAACCAACCCCCTTTCACACTACTAAACAGTTAAACAAAGAAGAACGCAAGCAGCGTGTTGAGCACTTTATGAACTCTAAAATACAGCTCCTTTCATTGTTTTACAGAGTGAGGACAGAGATATGAACCAATTTCTCATGCCCAAAAAGTTCTGATATGCATGAGCTACTGGGGCAGGGAGAAGGGGGAGACAAGATTCAAAAGATTCATATGACAGAGAAACCTCTGAACCACTTTCTCAAAATCTGAAAAGCATTTTTTCTTTCTAATACGTGGGAAAAGATACCTATACAAAACACTACATGGAGCAAAACACCATTATCCAAAGACAAAACATGGTACAGAAAGGTCAGTGAGAACTATGAAATCACAGAACTGTCTGTAAAGGATCTGGAGAAGTCATCCAGTCCATCTCTCTGTCCTAGGCAGGATCAATTTTAAATCTGTCATAGAAAGGACAAACTGACAAAACTAAGTATCACTCTAATTTTAGTAACGGGTCAATGTATTAAATGAAGAGTGAGGAAAAGCTGTGCACAAACAGAAGTAGAGAGACTAATTTATCTGCAACTTGTCCCCTCTCTTTTTCCTATGATTCCAGGACACAGATTATTACCTCTATATCCCAGCTGCTGGCCATTTGGACTATGTTATTTTGCTCTACCATTGTATTTTAATTGGTCACGCACACACACAAAAAAATTATAAAATTAGAAGGTCATGGCAAAAGAGACAGGGCAGGATGCTAGCCGCAGCTTTTCTGTTATTAGTTAAGTCTTTTTTTTTTTTTTTTCCCCTGACACAGCTACCATTCCAGAAAGCCAGTTAGAAAAAGGGGATTTCTTGGGCTGATCCAATATTTTACTAGTTTTTAACAATCATGTCACGTTACATTTTAAGCACGGAATAGGCCAAGAGAATACAATGTGACTTGCATAACCAAATCTCACAGTGAAACACGCACTCCGAGGAACAAAAAACCAATCTGCAACTCTAAATAAAATTTAAATACTCAAAATTATATTCTTAAAAGAGCTCTGAAACACATTGTTTTCTTGACATCTGGTTTATTGCACAATAAAAATTCATGAATGTCTGTGTCTGTATCTTTGTGACAATACTGAACCACATCTGCTCTGCTGAGGTCTAGCTCTTCCAGAAGATTCAGGAAGATCTAATTTCTAATAAATCCAAACACGTCATTTTTTTTTAGCCCCCCCATTAACTTCTCAAGTAATTGAAAGCTTCAGGACACCAAAAATTTAACAAATAGCATTTTTCAAACAACACAACTTTTGCTTTACATTACCCCAGAACTGAGTTCAGTGAGGCAGGCTGAGAGTTTCTCACTGCCTATCTTCTGTTTCCATGTGAAACCACAAGTTGGGTGCACTAAGATGTCTTCTGCACCAAGCCCACTCAAACTATACCTGACACTGACGGGAAATGTGAAAAATAAGATTTATGGCTGTCCTCTCATCATGTGAGAGTGACAGAGCACTGGAACAGGCTGCCCAGAGAGGTGGTGGAGTCTCCTTCTCTGGAGACATTCAAAACCCGCCTGGACGCCTTCCTGTGCAACCTCATCTAGGTGTTCCTGCTCCGGCAGGGGGATTGGACTAGATGATCTTTTGAGGTCCCTTCCAATCCCTAACGTTCTGTGATTCTGTGGTTCTGTGATTCTGTGAGGGAGAGAAATTCTAACTATGTATGTAGTAACAGGGTAAGTGGCATCCACTTGATTTTAAAAATCAGCTTTTATTCCAAATAAAAGGATTACAGTCCATGACTGCTCCATACTCTAAAGGCAGAATGCAGAGCTCTAGTACTTACTAAAGCCAGGAAGTTTCTACTGCACAGAAAACCTTCATATGATGAGCAGCTGGAGTCCAAAAGCTGTGAATCCATGAGCTGGAGTGTAGTTGCTTAGGTGGAAAACTGAGTTGAAAGCTTAAAATCTCGAGACAAGACACAGAAACTGGTTGGTTGTTTTGCTCAGTACTGGCTCACCTTTCTGCAGGACCTTTCTCTGTTTCAGCACATAGAGGCTCCCTCAGTCAGATGATGTGACCCAACACAGAGCTGAGTTTACCACCTCAGTGACACAGGAACTACATTAGTGCCTAAGGCCACCTTCAGACTGGGTGAAACTGGGATCAACCAAAGGAAAATGCTGGGTTGTATTGTAGCCCCGCACTGTTTTCATATGGGACAAGAGAGCCGAGTCCCTAACACAGGAAATCTCACATGTGCAGTACTTCTGGCAACATTCTCTAGCTGGCATACGCCAATGCAGCTGCCAAATCCAAGCTGGCTTTCACCAGCATGAGTTTCTGCTTCCAAAATTGGCTCATGGGTATCTTCACTCATGGTGTAAACATGTTTGGCACATAAAACCAGAACAAATCAGCTGTGAATTTTGTTCTCATTTATATGCCAAAGAGGGGCACAGTTTCAGATGTATGGCTCACACTGTCGCATTTCCTTCTGGTTAGCACAGGCGTCCTCCCTACTCAGCACAAAGCCCTTTCTGAATCCCACTCCTAGCAGTCTTGCAATGAACTGAACAGGGAATTTAGGTACTTAAGACAAGGCTACAGACTAGATTTTTTAGTTCAAAAACTTAAATATCAGGGCACAGTAGGGCCAATAATACATTAAGGTACTACTGGATCTAAAGGGGCTTTTGCCCCTGATGACTGTGGGGTGTAAGTGAAGAACACAATCATCTAGCCAGTCTACATCTATTCAGTTGCAACACTAAATATTTTATTCTTTGCAAGGAATTTCTATGTTGTTTTTCTGGTTATAAATCAGTAACAACTATTTTCATATTAGTAACAAGTGTATACTGAGTGTCAGGTATTTGAATTTTATTTGTTCTAATTTGAGAAGCTTTGACTTGCTATTTATGTCAGGAATGTACAGGTATTTGGCCCAGCTCTAAGGCAAGAGGTTCAGACATGAATTTAAAAAAATAATAAAACAAAGAAAATCTGTCCTCATATAAGACTGCAAGTACTTGTTGATGTCACTATAGTTTTACAGATCTTTTTTACACATCTAATCAGCCTACCACGAAATACAAATCCTGCAAATCTAAAGCAAGTGCCTGAGTCTTATACTAACATTTCCCTACCACCCAGAGTCTTCATCTTCCAATTTCTAATAATTTTTACCCAGATCTCAAGTAGATTTGCTTTAGGAATCATACACAAAATGCACCATATACCCTTCCTGAATGTGAAGTTGATAATTAATGAATAGTTAAACTAAATTTCTTTAAATGCCCACTTTACAGCCCTCAAGCCACTTCAAAGACAGTCAAGCACGAGTTTTGGTGAACCTGGTATGTCCCGGAAATGCATGCACTTCTTTCCTTGTTTTTGCCTATTTTGTTTAATAAATTGGTTAAGTTATCAACATATCAATGTATTTTCAATTGATTCAAGCCATACACCTTACCACTAAACAGTAACACAATATAGTTCTTATTTTATTATACTTTTATTCTGACAAGAAATTGTTTAGATGTGTATATTCAGTGACTACGTAACCAGGGTGTGTTTTAAGATCAGACAACACAGTCAGCTCAAGGAGAGTAAAATCCAAGCAGTACTGATGACAACTTTTATTTCAAAATGAAGTATGAATGATTAGGCCACAGAAGCCTACGCACAGCAGAGGAATCTGCCTAACGCAATGCGGTATATTCATAAAACCTGAAAACCCTCATTTTATTAAAAACAAACAAAAAACCCAACAAAACAAACCCAAGGAGAACCCATTAAAATTTCCAAAAGGATTACTGAGGGGCAATGTAGCTTATATCACAAGTCAGAAATCATCCAGGTTGCAAATACCCCCAGTGCACCATGCATTATTCAGCCAAGACCAACACTCCACATCTAGAACACAACGTACCAAGAACAAGTTAGCAAAGAGCCAGAAGTTCCAAAAGAGCACGAAAATCAACATACTCAGATCACTGATCTGGTAATTTCTGGTATCCAGACTTGAAACAGAAAAATGGTAACTAGCTGCAAAGCTCAACACGTTGAATGATATGGACTTGAAACCGAAAAAAAAAATTTGCAGTGGTACAAAAGCCTTACAAAAAAAATACCACAACTACAATTCCTTTTGTTTTACAACAGTGTGGTAACAAGCTCAGACAACCACAGATCCTGCAGGCTGACATGTTAAAAATAAATAAAAAGCTGTGTCTTTGACATGCCCCTGTCCC